ATTTTTTGTCATGGTTTCAATTTTTGGATTGTTTTGAATAATAATGAAAATTTTAAAAAATAAAAAATTAAAATTTCCCATTAAAAAAAAAAAAAAAGGGAAAATTTTAAAAAACTTGTTTAAATTTTTTTTTTTTCAAATATTTTAATAAAAAAAAATCTAGATATCATTAAAAAAATCTTTGTGGATTGCAATAAGTTTTTTTAAATAAAAAAAAAAAAATTTCTTTTTTTCAAATATAAAATCAATATGTCAACACTAATAATAATATTTTTCATAAAATTATTTATTAATTTTTCACTTCAGTATTCACAATCAGAAAGTAAATAAAATAATAAAAATAAAAATTATAATAATAATAATAATATTTTTTTCTTTATTTATAGGCACATGTTTTACCAATCTATTAACAAAGCTAGGTTACAGCCCTGCTCTAAATTTTTGCACAGATAAACCTTATTTTCGATGCGATGCAAATTTAAATATAATTGAAATGGATTTTTCAACACGTCCTCAGTTAACAAATAATGCTATACAGAATACCGATGTAGATTGTATTGGACCAAATTTCAAAAGAATGATTACCTACAAATGGAATATAGCTGATAACTTTTTTAATTTTGCAACAGAGTCTTTAGATGAAATGTAATTATAAAAATAAAAAATAAAAATAAAAATAAAAGTTATAATAAAAATAATAATAATAATTTAAATATAGAGAAATGGTCTCACCACCATCAATAAGCTTCAAATTCCCAATCAAATCAAAGAGTTTCGCTACAACTTTAGGAAAAAGAATTGAAGAACCTTTGTCTCTATCGCTTTTTACTACACCTTTAAAAGATACTTTTAAAATTGACCCAGATTTTACATTATCAAACAATATGAATTATGGATTATATATAAATAATGATTTAGAAAACACTATAAATGATTCTCTTTTTTTTAGATATGCATATTTTGTAACAAGAAATATCCATCAATGGAAAATGTTAAATCAAATGGTGAATTTTATTATTATTTAACAAGTGATTTTGATTTCAATTCTTTCAAAAACTTATCAACACATAATAATATAGGGATGATACAATTAAATGGTTTCACAGGTTTAACTTATCCACTGGTTCCGCTTTCAATATTGTTAGGTTCAAAAGATCCATTACATATAACTATTAATCCTACATTGTAAGTATAAAAGTATACATTATTGTTTATATTAAAAAAATTTTATAAATATTTATTTCACCCATTATAGCATTATAGAATATAATGTTCAAACACCAAATGAATTTATTGAATTTACAGGATACTCTTTCATTAAAAAATTGTAAGTTGATTTTGTTTTAAATATGAAAATTTATTAAATACTAACACTATCTTTGATAATTAATAGAATTTTTTCCAAAACTCATAGTTTCCATATTGATGGTGAATTACCATTTTCAAAACTTCCAAATGGTCTTTTTCAATTGTATGTATTATTATATTTATTATTATTTCAATTAAAAAATAATTAACACTAATTACAATTAACTTTCAGCTCATATATATCTGGGCCACTAAAAAAACTTCCAAACTCTAAAATATTTGATAATACAGATATTTATACGTTATCTTTATATAATAATCAAATTGTTGATTTACCTAAATGGGATGGTTCAAAAAACAATATTACAACCTTAGATTTAAGCTCAAATTTAATAACTGGAACTATTGATGAATCTTATTGCTCTGTGCGTTTAATTGTTAGAAATAATTCAATGACAGGTAAAATTCCAGAATGTTTTACATGCCATTTTAGCGATACTTTTTTTAAATCAAACTTTGATCTAAATTCATTTGATAACTACGATACAATTGGAACATGCAGTAAGTTTACAAAATATATTATTTTAAATTAATATTTTTTATTAATATTTTTACATTTCTTTCAAATAAAACTTTTCAATAGAAACTATTCCAAAATTAAAATATTTAAATCAAACCTTTTGGTTAATAAACAAAATAGTAACAAAACCAGTATTATCATTAATCGGTCAAAATATTGGATTTTCACAAAGTAATATTATATCTAATATATCATTTGATTACATGTTAAAAGCCAATTCAAAATTTATTGAATATAGTTCCTATACTCCAAATAGAATTATTCACGAAATAAGTTTCAAGAGTTCCGGTCAAAACTTCACATTAACTCCAGATCCATATCCACCATTGTTATCAAATATAACATCAAATAATCATATTTTAGTATTCAAAGGTTTATATTATTCATACGATATCACTGAAATAACAATTACAATTGGTGATAAATCTTGTGATGTAACTGATTCAACATTTTATCAAATCACATGTACTTTAACAACATATCCAAATCAACTGAATAATGTATCAGGCACACTCAAAGTAGATCAATTACAAACAACATTCAATTTAAATTTAGATAACAACGATGGTAACGAAGTATTTAACAACTATACATCATGTCCAGACAACTGTGAATCATATAATGGTAATATATGTAACTATAATACTGGTATTTGTGAATGCCCAAAAGACTGGACCGGCGAAAACTGTTATACTCCAATCTATTATGTATCATCAATAACACCAACATACGAAGATGGTGGATTAGTAACAATGAATGGATGGTTCGGTGATATTCATAAAGATTTGAATATAACAATCGGTAATCAAGAATGTAAAATAGATACAATATCATCAAATACAATCACATGCAACATTGGAGCAGGTACAGGTAAAAAAGATGTAATCGTATATCAAAATGGAATCACATGGAAATCATTCAACTTTTTTGTATACCAATCAAAACAACAAACATGTTTAAACAACTGTATCGATACTAACCATGGTATTTGTAATACATCAAATGGTATTTGCGAATGTAAATCAAGATGGACTGGATTCGATTGTAGTTCACCTTCAAATAACAACAACAATAACAATGGTAATACCAACAATACAGTTAATCCAGATGGCTCAACAACAATCAATAACGATCAAACAACATACAATATATTAATCACATCATTATTAGAACTCGATATCAACAGTGACACAGTTAAACAATATCCACTTCAAAACAATTGGAATATTACATCAAATGATAAAAACGGATCAAATGTTACATTCACACAAATATTAAACGAAACTGAATGTCAAATCGTATTATCAATTCAAGAAATAGAAAATGATATTCAATATTCATTCGCAGGTTTAGAATTCAAATTAGATAAAGGATCGATTAAAGTATCAGTATCAATTCACAATTACAACTATCAAAGTCCACTCAATACATTACAATTACAAATGATATCAAATGTATCAGATACAACATCGAACGATTGTAACAGTAAATCAGCATCAACATCAACATCAATATTAGACAATCAAACATTAAACTATATATCGATCAACAAAGACAACAAGATTCTATATGGTAGATTTATAAACAGAGCAATATCAGATGGACACACAACATTAATCACCACATCATTAATATCGAGTCAAAACGAATCAGTAACCATTGGTATTAACATTCCACATTGCAGAACATCATGCTATATCGATCCTGACTTTTCATTATTGATTAGTCCTGATTTCAAATCAAACTGTAACAACAAATCCAAAAAGTATGTAATTCCAGTTGCTATCGTTGTAAGCTGTATCGGTGTAGCTGCAATTGTTGCAATCACTTATTTTATTTATAAAAGAAAACAAAAGAAAATTTTTGAAAAGAAAATTATTAATTTAAATAATTTAAATAATAAATAAAATTACTATTGTAATAAAGTTTTGTCATTATAAAAGAACCGAATCTAAAATTTCAAAAATAAATTTAATATTAAAAAAAACCAATAATTTCTAAATATAAAAACTTTAACTATATAATTATAATATAAAAATTTATATATAATTTAAATATGTTTTAAAAGATAGTGTTATATAGGATGAAAAAAAAAAATTTGTAAATGTACAGAACCTGCGGTTCCCATGTAACAATTTTCAAAATAAAAATTATTCCCATCGCTTCAAGATTTTTTGGTTGGATTTATTCTTTTTATTTTTTGATTAATCACATTGACTTTCTGTATATAAAAAATATATCACAGATTTCGACTGTACATTATACCATATGAAGTCCTTGTAATAAAATTGATACAACTACAATTTTCAAATGAATGTGTAATTGCATACAGGTTTTTTTAGCATAAAATACAATAATAATATTTTTTCTAAATTGTAAACTATAATAATAATAAAATTTTTTTTAGTTATTTAATTTTAATTTTTTTTATTTGAAATTCATCGATAAGGTTCTGTGGCTTTCCAGGTGTAGTTGTAGGTGTTGAAGTTTCTTATATATCATGTTGATTTTTTAACCTCTCTTTCCCATGCTATTGGATTTGCTAGGAATGGTTTATCCAGTTTGGTAAATAGGTGTTTGTCCATACAAAAGGGTCGTACTGAGTATCTTTTAAAATTTGGTTTATTATTTCTTGTACCGATTTATTGACCGATGGACACTTGAAGAATATGTGTTCTGATATTTCTATGTCTGGTAATGTTTTCAGCAAGCATTTCAAGAGTAAATATCTACCCTTAACTGTTATGAGCTTTCTGGCTTGTGCAAATGGTAATTCTTGTTTGATTTTTTGTGCTGGTACACTTTGAGTGGCTGTGTGATGATTTTCAATCCCACTAGTTTTGGTATTTTATATCCATTAGGTTTCTGTATATCCTCTTTAGTTTGATAGATGAGTTGTATAATGATGGTTTGATTTAATTTTCAGGTTTTTCTGTATCTTTTTCGAGGTGTTGGTAGAAGTTGTGCCCATGCATATTTACATTTCGTTTTATATTCACATTCTCCAACCAAATATTTGGAATGATTGATTCTTTCTTGAGTTGGGATGGATTGCTCTGATATATCTTTCGTATATCCAGGCTTTCTGTGCTTCTGCTCTTGTTTCTATATCTCATAAACCTAAACCTCCTTTTTCGTAATATTTTCTTGCACTTTCCCGCTTATTATCATTTTATAATTTGTGTTGTATATGTTTCTGGTGCATGTGTCCTAAAATTCGTTTAATGTTATTATGTCGTTGATGTACATGTGTAATGTTAGTTGTGATAGGCAGTATGTTTTTAGATTGCTTAATCTACCTCTGAGCGTTGATGTTGCATTTTTCCATGATGCCAATTGGTATTGTTGATGGATTAGGAAAGCTTCAATATCTTTCTCATTCTTTCCAAAGATCTATACCTGATCAGGTATCATTTAATTTTCTTAGTTTAGTAGAAGTTGTTGGATCGCTTACAGATGCAGAATTTTTGGTTGCATTTCCTAAAATTAAGCAATACTGCGAAAATGATATATATCCGATATATTCAAAATACAAGGGTGAATTAAACCAAAGTATTTTAAAATATCGTTCTCTAATAGAAAGAGATTGGTGACAATTAGAGAAATGGAAAATACTTGAAAAGTATAGACTAACGGATAGGATTTATCGGTTGTAGATGTGTGGGAAAAACATAACCAAACAATCTTTACAATTGCATATATTTATAATATTATCAATGAACATCTGGTGAATTATCATCATTATCTTCAACCTATGGTAATATAAAGGCAGTTGCGATTAACTTATCGATTTATACCAAGAAAATAATATTTCTAAACATTGTTTTTTTTTTATTAATATTTTAAATAAAAATAAAAAAATTAAAAACAATTTTATTTATTTTAAAGTTTTTTTTAATTTTTTTTAACATTTTTTATAAAAAAATAATTTCATTTGGAAAAATATCTTAATAAAAATTTGGAAAAATATTTATGTAAAAAAAATTTCTAAAAAAAAATTACAATGATATTTCAAAAAATCAAGATATTTTCAAAAAACGACTTTGTGAGCAGCATTTTATAACTTATTTTTTTTTTTTTTTTCATTAAAATAAAAATAAATATAAAATCAATATGTCGAAAATAATAATAATATTTTTTATTAAATTATTTATTAATTTTTCACTTCAGTATTCACAATCAGAAAGTAAATAAAATAATAATAAAAATAAATTTCAATAAAAATAATAATATTTATTCTTTATTTATAGGCACATGTTTTTCCAATTTATTGACAAAGCTAGGTTACAGCGCTCCAGAAGATTTTTGCACAGATTCACCTTATTTTGGATGCGATGTAAATTTAAATATATTTGTAATGGATTTGTCTTCACGACCTCAGTTAACAAATAATGCTATACAGAATACCGATGTAAGATGTATTGGACCTAATCTCAAAACAATGATTACCTACAAATGGAATATAGCTGATAACTTTTTTGATTTTGCAACAGAGTCTCTAAATTACATGTAATTATAAAAATTAATAATAAATTAAATTAAAAAAAAAATAAAATATTAATAATAATAAAATAAAATAAAATAATAATTAGAGAAATGAAATCACCACTATCAATAAGTTTCAAATACCCAATCAATTCAAAGAGTTTCACTACAACTTTAGGAAAAAGAATTGAAGAACCTTTGTCTCTATCGCTTTTTACTACACCCTTAAAAGAAAAATTTAAAACTGACCCAGATTTTACACTACCGAACAATTTGAATTATGGATTTTATATAAATAATGATTTAGAAAACACTTCAAATGATCCTTTTGTTTGTAAAGATGTCAGTTTTGTAACAAGAAATATCCCATCAATGTCAAATGTTATTTCCAATGGTATATTTTCATATTTTTTAACAAGCGATTTCGATTTCAATTCTTTCACAAATTTATCAACACACAATAATATAAAAACTTTATTGTTAAGAGGTTTCACTGGTGTATCCCATCCACTGGTTCCGCCATCGATATTGTTGGGTTCATATAGTGAAAATGTGAATCCTACTATGTAAGTATATAAAACTAAATTTTTAATTTATAATTTTTAATTATAACATTTAATTAATATTTATCGAACCCATTAAAGCAATATAGAATATGATGTTCAAACACCAAATGAATTTATTGAATTTACAGGATACTCTTTCATTAAAAGTTTGTAAGTTAATTTTATTTTAAATATGAAAATTAATTTTATAAAAACACTAATTTTATCTTTGATAATTAATAGATTATTTTTCAATACTCCGAATTTCCATATTGACGGTGAATTTCCATTTTCAAAACTTCCAAATGGTCTTTTAAGATTGTATGTATTATTATTTTTATTATTATTGCAATTATAAAAGAATAAACACTAATAATTAACTTAGTTTATATATAACAGGGGGACTAAAAAAACTTCCAAATTATAAAATATTTGATTATACAGATATTTCTCAATTATCTTTTTCTGCAAACCTAATTGTTGGTGATTTACCAAAATGGGATGGTTCAAAAAACAATGTAACAATCCTAGATTTAAGTTCAAATTCAATAACTGGAACTATTGATGAATCTTATTGCTCTGTGTATTTAAATATTAATAATAATTTAATGACAGGTAAAATTCCAGAATGTTTTACATGCCATTTTAGCGATACTGCTTTTAAATCTATTTTCAGTCATAATTCATTTGATAACTACGATACAATAGGAACATGCAGTAAGTTTATAAAATATATTTAAAATATTGATATTAATATTAATATATTTCTTTTTTTTTAAAATACTAAATTTAAATAGAAACAATTCCAAAATTAAAATATTTAAATCAAACCTTTTGGAAAATAAACAAAATAGTAACAGAACCAGTGTTATTATTAATCGGTCAAAATATTGGATATATAATAAGTGATATTGAATCAAATATACAATTTAATCTCATATTAAAAGCCAATTCAATTATTATTGCATATGGTTCCTATACTCCAAATAGAACTATTCACGAATTAAGTTTCAAGAGTACTGGTCAAAAATTTACATTAACTCCAGATCCATATCCACCATTATTATCAAATATAACATCAAATAATCATATTTTAGTATTCAAAGGTTTATATTATTCATACGATATCACCGAAATAACAATTACTATTGGTGATAAATCTTGTGATGTAACTGATTCAACATTTTATCAAATCACATGTACTTTAACAACATATCCAAATCAACTGAATAATGTATCAGGTACACTCAAAGTAGATCAATTACAAACAACATTCAATTTAAATTTAGATAACAACGATGGTAACGAAGTATTCAACAACTATACATCATGTCCAGACAACTGCAACGATTATATATGTAACTATAATACTGGTATTTGTGAATGCCCAAAAGACTGGACCGGCGAAAACTGTTTAACTCCAAATCATTATGTATCATCAATTACACCAACATACGAAGATGGCGGATTAGTAACAATGAATGGATGGTTCGGCGATATTCATCAAGATTTGAATATAACAATCGGAAATCAAGAATGTAAAATAGATACAATATCATCAAATACAATCACATGCAACATTGGAGCAGGTACAGGTAAAAAAGATGTAATCGTAAATCAAAATGGAATCACATGGAAATCATTCAACTTTTTTGTATACCAATCAAAACAACAAACATGTTTAAACAACTGTATCGATACTAACCATGGTATTTGTAATACATCAAATGGTATTTGCGAATGTAAATCAAGATGGACTGGATTCGATTGTAGTTCACCTTCAAATAACAACAATAACAATTGTAATACCAACAGCACAGTTAATCCAGACGGTTCAACAACAATTAATAACGACCAAACAACATACAATATATTAATCACATCATTATTAGAACTCGATATCAACAGTGACACAGTTAAACAATATCCACTTCAAAACAATTGGAATATTACATCAAATGATAAAAACGGATCAAATGTAACATTCACACAAATATTAAACGAAACTGAATGTCAAATCGTATTATCAATTCAAGAAATAGAAAATAATATTCAATATTCATTTGCAGGTTTAGAATTCAAATTAGATAAAGGATCGATTAAAGTATCAGTATCAATTCACAATTACAACTATCAAAGTCCACTCAACACATTACAATTACAAATGATATCAAATGTATCAGATA